CTGAGCTGAGTTTCCAGGTATGCACACCTGCTGTGGCTTTTTTGAGAGGCTCCCGCCATCCCTGCACTACGATCCAAGGCCTGCACACTTGTGGTGCCCTTTATAAGGGTTTTTCTATATCCCTGTGCTGAGTTCCCTGATTTGTACACTTGCTGTGCCCATTTTAGAGGGTTCCTGCCATGCCTTCTCTGAGATCCCAGTTGTACAAACATGCTGTGCCCATTATCAGGGGTTCCCACAATCCCTGCTGCATTTGTATTTATGTTTGAACCAGGGGCGGACTGACAACTCATGGGGCCCCCGGGCAATAGGGGATCATGGGGCCCCTGTGTCCTTGCCCAAACTCAAAAAAGCCTATGGAAAAGGTACCAGGGGCATCTCATGGGGCCCCCTATTGACCCCGGGCCCTCGGGTAGTGCCCGAGTTTCCAAATGGTCAGTCCGCCCCTGGTTCATACTTATTTGTGCTATATGTTTATGGTTACAGTAGGGTGTCCACCTCATCCCTTTAAAACCAAACACATATTAATTACACAGGTTCTGAGGCTAATTTAATGCAGATAAGGCACTAAGTGAGTTTAATTACCACCTTAATCAGCCACAGAACCTGTGTAATATGTGTTCGGGTTTAAAGGGATCAACCCTATGTTACAGTCTTCAAATAATGTTTGCCTTTTGTATTATAAGTGTGAAGTCTCTCACTTCTTGTTGGTTCTCCAGACTTTTTAACCATTTCCCTTGTCTTTAGATATACAGTACGTTATTTGTAGACTCAGGAGACAAAATGCAGATCCTGCAAAAACACAGGGGCAATATTGGCAGGGTGTTCTCCACTACTGCCCCCTGCAGGATGAATTAGGGTGCACATACAATTCAACCCATGTAGAATATAATCAATTTATTTTAGAATATAATCACTACACTACTAACACATGATTGTTCTGCAGTTTTCTGGTCAGGTGAATCTCCATGTGTTTTGAGGATTGGTGTGGAAGCAGCATCAGTCAACTATGCCGCAACCTGCACTTCCCCCTATACCCCCACGTGAGTACCATTGCATGTACACTGCAAGTAGATGAGCACATGAGACAGCTCACCAGACTTTACTTTTTTTTTTTCAAAATGTTTGTTTTTTTAATTTTCTCTGCCAATTTTTTTTTTTTTTTTTTTAAATCAATCATTTAACCACTTTCTGACCAGAAGCAATTGAAACCTAGATTCTGAGACCAAATTTAGCATGCATCACCTAATAGGACAACAACTTCTGTATAAGGGTTTAATTTGGCACACAAATTTAATAAATACCATGTTTTTGTTTTTTTAATCATAAACTGAAAAAGAGAAATCAATTTTATTACGTTTTAAATAAAATATTTTATTTTTGGCAGCATATTTGCCTTTTAATATATAAAAAATGTATATAATTTCAAATACATATACAGGTGCCGCGTTCCATAATATAAATATAAAATCATATACAAGTGATCATATAAATAGTGATGTGAAAAACTTATGTGTTTCAAATCAGGGCAGTATTTAGTGCTTTTCAAATATATTACTACTTAAATACTCAAAAGTAAATTCATAAATAGTCCTCTTTGTGCTTTAATTCTTTTCAGTGACAAATACAGTGTTGTGCCACACTCCCCGTGCTCTATAGATAGGTGTGCGCTCACCTCCTTAATTAGCCAAACAAAGTGGCTAACAACACTTTTGTCCTATCAGGACTGGGTGGTAATCTTCATACTATATATGTATTTCCATCCATGCCGTGGATTTATATTGCCATTTTCCTGCCACCAGAGGTCTCCCTTATTCCTCCTTCCACACTGAGCCTCAATGGATAATTAGGGATGGTTTGAGTGGTATTTCCTCCTCCCAGTATATTGGGAAACCATGTAAGAAAGAGCCACAATAGTGCCTTATCCTTTGTGAGGTTAAATCACCTTTTATTGAGAATAAATCGCCACTCACATTATGCAGTATCCAACAGAGCTGTGCCCAGATCCTGTGCTTGTAAATGCTGCTCGTCCACCGCGGCGTCGTGACGTCAGAGCCCCTCCCCTACGCGTTGCGCCACAGGGTCACGTGGCTTCATCAGGGGTTAGGACAAAGGTGTTGTTAGCCACTTTGTTTGGCTAATTAAGGAGGTGAGCGCACACCTATCTATAGAGCATGGGGAGTGTGGCACAACACTGTATTTGTCACTGAAAAGAATTAAAGCACAAAGAGGACTATTTATGAATTTACTTTTGAGTATTTAAGTAGTAATATATTTGAAAAGCACTAAATACTGCACTGATTTGAAGCGCATAAGTTTTTCACATCACTATTTATATGATCACTTGTATATGATTTTATATTTATATTATGGAACGCGGGGCACCTGCATATGTATTTGAATATATATACATTTTTTATATATTTTATGTTTCACACAGATAATGAGTATTGTGTAAAGTGTTGATGCACCATAATTTGATGTAATAGTTTGTTAATTAATTTATTGCACAAGGGGAGTATCACATTTTGGCTCACGAGTACTATTAATTTCATATTTGCCTTTTAACCACTGAAGCCTGTCAGCCTCAGCTGTCACAGCGTCTTTCTGTGCTAAGTAAAATGGTAAAGCAAATGGAGAGCAACAACGGACAAAGCCCTCTACAGGAAAAAATGGATGTGTGATTCTTTACCTTTTTGGTAAGGATTTTGTCTAGTGAATGTAAGCAGTAGGGTTGCCACCTCATTCCTTTAAAACTAATCACATATTAACTACACAGGTTCTGTGGCGGATTAAGGTGGTGACCAGGGGCGGACTGACAACTCATGGGGCCCCCGGGAAATAGGGGATCATGGGGCCCCTGTGTCCTTGCCCAAACTCAAAAAAGCCTATGAAAAAAGGTACCAGGGGCATCTCATGGGGCCCCCTACTGATCCCGGGCCCTCGGGCAGTGCCCGAGTTTCCAAATGGTCAGTCCGCCCCTGGTGGTGACTAAACTCACCTAATGCCTTATCTGCATTAAAATTAGCCTCAGAACCTGTGTAATTAATATGTGTTCCGTTTTAAAGGGATGAAGTGGCAACCTAAGTAAGCAGCCTTTATCTTTTGACATATGATGGTTTCTGGTCAGGCTCTGTTTGTGCCAGCATGAGACTAATGCCCCATACATAAGAAAATCGTATGAAAAAAAACACTGATGGAACGATTTTCTCTTCGTTGATGAGCAGGATGTTTTAACCGATAACCATATTGTGAACGAAAAAATCTGGTTGAACAACAGTGAAAAATGTTGTCGTTTCTCATATGACATCCGATTTTCTATGCGGTGGTATTACGGTCATACGAAAAAATCTATCAAGCGCTATCACGCATGAGCAGAAACAGAAGATGACTCGGATGTTTATGTCCAAGGAATCTTCGTAAACACGAACGAAAAATCCAAATGTTAAAAGTAGATCGCTCGTTCTGGCCGGAAGGGCGTGGCCACAAGGTCACACGCACACCGCATCACTTCCACTTGTACGGAAGCCGTCAACACTACGTATTGCCCAATGAACAATTTTTTTAGATTAGTTTAATGTGGGCCACGATTTCGACCAATGAACGAACGTCTCTCGGTCGTCGGATGACCGATCGGTAGATCTTTCTAATTGTGTATTCCCATCTTAAGGGTTTGTTTGACATCATTTCGTATTTGTTGTGGAGATCACATGGTCAGGAACCACACTGATTGTGACAAGGAGTGGTCACTTGACAGTGGGATGTGAAAAATAGGAGTGTACACAGGCGCACATTCTTAGTTCTGACAGGGACTTCATGTTTGAAAACCATAATAGCCAGATTTCAGATGGTGTTTGGCTGGGAAATATATTAGCTTAAGTGGAACTAAAATCAAAAACTTTTTTTACGAACATAAATTCAATTCCTCTTCTGCAATAAAATAAACTTACCTGAGTACAGTCTTCTGGAGAATGTTCACTGATGAGCCATAACATTATGACCACCCACCATAACTTGATCACCCACCTAATATTGAGTAGATTCTCCTTTTTCCACCAAAACAGCTCTGACCTGTGTAGGCATGGACTCCACTAAACCTGTGTATACTGTGATATCTGGCACCATGCCATCAGTAGCAGTTCCTGTAATTTACAATGTGGTATCTCCATGGATTGGAATTGTTTTTCCAGCATATCCCACATATGCGCAATTGGATTGAGATTCAGAGAATTTGGAGCCTAAGTCAACACCTTGAAGACACCTTCTTTCAGTGCTCTGTGTTCCAGTTCTAATGCTCATGTAGATGCTTTCGGTTATGGACATGGGTCAGCATGGGCACCTTGACCAGTCTGTGGCTACACAGCCCCATAAACTGGGATGCACTGTGTGTTCTGATACCTTTCTCTTGGAACCAGCATGAACTTTTTCAGCAATTTGAGCTACAGAAGCTTTAATATTGGATCAGACTACACAGGCCAGCCTCAACTCCACATATGCATCAGTGAGACTTGGCTGCCCATGACCCTGCTACCGGTTCCCCTGTTTTCCTTCCCTCGACTATTTTTCCTGACCACTGCAGACTGAGAACATCCGACAAGAGTTGCAGTTTTGGAGATGTTCTGTCCCTGTCATTTAGCCATTACAATTTAACCCTTGCACAAATCCTTACACTTGCCCATTTTTGCTGCTTTCAACACGTCAACTTCAGAGCCAACATGCTCAGTTGCTGCCTAATATATCCCTTCCGCTTTAATGTGCCATTGTAACAAGATAATCAATACTATTCACTTTACCTGTCAGTGGTCATAATAGTATGGCAGATCAGTTTATGCTTAATTTACATTTCCGCCATGGTGCCAGTGACAACATCCCATGCTGGCCAATCAAAAAAGCCAAAAACCAGCACCTAGAACAAGCCACGAAGAAGATGCGATGGACCTGGCAATCCTCAAACCAGAGCAAAGCTGAGTAATCCTGACCAGGGGCAGACTGACAACTCATGGGGCCCCTGGGCAATAGGGGATCATGGGGCCCCTGTGTCCTTGCCCAAACTCAAAAAAGCCTATGCAAAAGGTACCAGGGGCATCTCATGGGGCCCCCTACTGACCCCAGGCCCTCGGGCAGTGCCCGAGTTTCTAAATGGTCAGTCCGCCCCTGATCCTGACCTTAGGTCTGCTTGAACCTTCTATCCCAAATGTAAAAAAAAAAAAAACTGCCGCTGTAACAACCTAAAAAAGTGTTAGATGAAGCTGGCCTTTAATGTGTTTGTCTACTACTAAAAGTCCATTTAAAACTACATGTCAAGTCTAAGACTTCCCTGTCTACTGCAGAACAGTGTTGTCATCCTATCACAACTGTAAAAAACGGGGATCACCAGATAATAAAACTATGATACGGGGGACTCAGGGATAGAACATTCTCTAGTGTTGGTAACAGTGACAGGCTGCATCATATTTCTGATGTCTGATTTTGCATATAGTTTTACTTCCCCAGTGTCCAGTTAGGCATCTGCTGCAGTTTTTTTTATTTTCTATGACACTGAGAAGTTACACAGTGAGTAACCTTCTCTGGACCTCGTGGATTAACTACAGATCTGTACTGAGTGCAGAGTGTAACTGTCTACAACCATTCAGAACATGTGGTCATTGTTGTTCCACCCAGTGCTGAGTGGGCCACCATTCTAGAACAAAGGAGAGACAATGTGCGCTTGCTTACCAGCTATAAATTCATCTTCACTATTAATGATTAATATTTTATTATTTATAAACCAACCTAAATTGTGAGCTGGTGTTTGTTTAGGTGCCAATAGAATCTGTACTGTTCAAACAAATCCAAGATAAGAATTAATGACACACTGCTATCTCTATTGAACAAATCGATCTGGGATTTTACTGCTTTTGTTGAAAGACATGCATCATGCTCTAGCACAGGGGTGTCAAACTTGCAGCCCTCCAGCTGTTGCAACACTACAAGTCCCATCATGCCTCTGCTTTTGGGAGTCATGCTTGTAACTGTCAATCTTGCAATGCCTCATGGGACTTGTAGTTTGGCAACAGCTGGAGACCTGTGCAGTCTAGCAGGTCATTCAAAAGCATGCCATTAAACATTTGTGCACAGAATTGTATCACAATGGTAGCTGAGTGTTAGCTCTAGTCGAGCTGAGGAGAGGCCAGCTATGGACATGAAGTCATCAGTCTTCTACAGGCAGAAGGTAGCATTTCCTAAGTCTCCTCTCCCCTAGTGATCAGACTACAACATTGTAACTTTGTAGTAAGTCACAAAGTGAGAGGATGCAGCAGGGGCTGATTTGAGTAAGAAATTTGAGAACCCAGCCAAAACCTTTACATGCAGCATGATTTACATGATTGCGAACTGGTGTTTTAGTACACGAGATGCTGACCCCAGATGATGTCTGAACAAAGATGGCACTGTCCTTCTGGAAAGAAAAGCAGATGAAGCCATTGCTTGGAAGAGTACTATGATCTTTATGAAAGGTAATAAACACCCGAGAGTGTTACACTAGCAGAGTACTAATGCTCCACATGCAAAATATATTTGATGACAGGTCCATTTTAATACAAAGTTTTTGTTTTTGCTACATCAGATTCGTACTACAATCAACAAGCTTGCTGTTACTCCGCAATGGACCAACTATGGGCTGCGCATGTTTGGATACCTGCACCCTGCTATAGACGGTAAAGACAATAACCTGCCAACAATGGCAATTTGTCGTTTTATCTGCTGTACAGCAGCACTGTAAGCCAATCTATCATGGCATAGTGTTGTCAGCATGCTTGTTAGGAGGAGAAAGGATTGACCTCATCAGTGAACAGCTGCTCCTTTATTATCCAGTCACAGGGTGGGGTATGTCCATAACACAGAAAGGTAAGGTCAAGGACCTGGGTACTCTCTCTTGAAAGAATCTCGACTGGCTAATAGATATATTAAAGGATAAATTCACCTTTTAACAAAAAAATAATAAATGCATATTTTTTTGCAGGTAAAAAAAATGCATTTATTATTTTTTATTTCTGGGGCCTCTGAAGCATTGCACCAGCAATCAGCAGATCACTGGTGCCATGTAGGTCTCCTGCAGACCTGTCACTTTATCTGTGTGCTTGTACATCTCATGCAACCAAGCAGATACTTAAAGACAGGAAGACTCCATGAACTACCACAGAGCTTCACAGCGCCGTGGTAGTTCATTGAGAACTACAAATTAACAGCCACAAAGGCTGACGGAACTTGTAGTGTTCTCATTCACAGAATACTGTGAATGAGTGATGTGGCTGGGTGGGCGGAGCCCCGCACTGCTGCTTTATCTTTTAAATTGTGACAGCTAGAAGGGGGGGGAGATACCCCCCCCCCCCCCCGCTAGCTGTCACAACATGGATTGGGGGGGGAGTTGTTGGCCAGTCCATTCATAACATGTTACATGTTACACTCTGAATATTGGTGTAACATGTAAAATTTTCTGAAAGGTGAACTTATCCTTTAACACTGTGTATGGGATTACAACTCATCCGTCTGATATAGCATATATATAATATATACCTCCAAAGAATAAAATGTAATAAAACGCAATGATGGGGTACTATTCCTCCCACTGACACCAATGATGGGACACTATTCCTCTCACTGACACCAATGATGGGATACTACTCCTCCCATTGACACCAATGATGGAGCACTATTCCTCTTTCTGCCTCTGAGCTCCTGGCATGCAAGGGGTTTACAGCCTCAGGTCTCAAGGGCTAGGGGCAAGAATCTTGTGACTCATCAGACTCTACCCCATTCACAAATCATGTTACAGGTACAGAAAGCAAACAAAAGAACTTTTTTCTCAGTGGGGGTGAAAAGAGGAGGGGGTGGGTCCCCATCAGGAGCTTTTTTCTATTAAATTCAGTCTGGAGACCTGAAGCTATTAACCCCCACAAGCTGGAAGTTCTGAGACAGGAAGAGGACGGGTTATCCCTTGGGTTAAGATTTCTACAAGATCGAGCTGCTTGCATGGCTTAGGACATCCATCATTACAGATAAGTTATGTCAATAAAACTGTTGGGGCTAAAAATAATTTTTAGCTACACTTCAGCTTTATGCACTAATTAGCACACCTAAAGAGTAACTCCAGTTTTACTGTGGCAAAAAAAAGCATTCCTCTATGGGTGATCTATCTGCATTACAAGGATCTTTTTTTTTACCTGTTTTTGCTCTGAAGAAAAAGCTGTATGTTCCACTATGTCTGATTCCAGAATGGCAGCATTCTAATGAGGGAAATTACAGTGCCTGCAGCTCTTTAGAAGTAATTAACCCTTTGGGAGTATGTCGCCAAAAATGAATTTTTTGTTGCAGAAGATGCCTAAAATCGGACTTGTATCTTAGTGATGAAAATCACTTGAGCTAATCATACAAGCAAAATGACATTTCTGGGGAAGTTCCATACGCTGTCTGTGTACAGAACACCTCCAGGCTGCCATATTGAATTGAATTTGACAGAAAATAACAGATGCTACAGACTGAAAAGGAAATGTACTTTTTAATAACATTAACTTAAAATATGGTTTGTGCAGCAATTGTATATGCAATTTTTTTTTAATTTGCTGTAATTGTTACCCACAAAAGTGGAGTTACCCATTTAAAAGATGTTCCAGCTTCACGAAGGACTAAAGTATTCATGTAGGTTTTTGTTTGATATAAAGGATATTGTGTTTGTATAAATTATTCAGTTTTGCAGTTAATATTCAGTGGTTTATCAATAATTGAGAGATGTGAAAGAAGTGAAATCCTCTAAGGCAGGGGTCTCCAAACTTTCTAAACAAAGGGCTAGTTTATTATCCTTCAGACTGTAGAGGGGCTGGACCATGGCCAGTGGGAGTAGAAAATGTCCTGGCCTTGGTAACAATGCCTCATCATTGGTGTCAGTGAGAGGAATAGTGTTCCATCCTTGGTGTCAGTGGGAGGAATAGTGCCCATCCTTGGTGTCAGTGGGAGGAATAGTGCCCCATCCTTGGTGTCAGTGGGAGGAATAATGCCCCACCATTGGTGTCAGTGGGAGGAATAGTGCCCCATCATTGGTGTCAGTGGGAGAAATAGTGCCCCATCATTGGTGTCAGTGGGAGGAATAGTGCCCCATCATTGGTGTCAGTGGGAGGAATAGTGCCCCATCATTGTCAGTGGGATGTGCCCCATCATTGAGAGGGAGGAATAGTGTTACATCATTGGTGTCAGTGGGAGGAATAGTTCCTCATCATTGATGTCAGTGGGAGGAATAGTGCCCCATCATTGATGTTAGTGGGAGGAATAGTGCCCCATCATTGGTGTCAGTGGGAGGAATAGTGCCCCATCGTTGGTGTCAGTGGGAGGAATAGTACCCCATCATTGATGTCAGTGGGAGGTATAGTGCCCCATCATTGATGTCAGTGGGAGGAATAGTGCCCCATCATTGATGTTAGTGGGAGGAATAGTGCCCCATCATTGGTGTCAGTGGGAGGAATAGTGCCCCATCGTTGGTGTCAGTGGGAGGAATAGTGCCCCATCGTTGGTGTCAGTGGGAGGAATAGTGCCCCATCGTTGGTGTCAGTGGGAGGAATAGTGCCCCATCGTTGGTGTCAGTGAGGGGAATAGTGCCCCATCATTGGTGTCAGTGAGGGGAATAGTGCCCCATCATTGGTGTCAGTGAGGGGAAGAATAGTGCCACATTATTGGTGTCAGTGGGGGGAATAGTGCCACATTATTGGTGTCAGTGGGGGGAATAGTGCCCCAAGGGCCGGATAAAGGCAGGCAAAGGGCCATATCTGGCCCCCAGGCCACAATTTGGAGACCACTGCCCTAAGGCAACAAACACATTCTGAAACAGGGAAAAAAATGTATAGGATTTGTCATTTTATGTGACTCGGCAAGCTCAGAGCTGCTGTTTGCCCCATCACTTATTTATATTGCTCAGAATGATGCTCGTTCCATGTTCCTTGTTGCAGGAAACTTTCAATTTGCCGTGTCCTCAGATGACAATTCAGAGTTCTGGCTGAGTGAGGACCATTTGGTGGAAAACCTGCAGCTGCTGTGCAGAGTGGGCCCGGTATGGAAGAA